ACAACACACACACACACACACACACACACACACACACACACAACACACACACACACACACACACACACACACACACACACACACACACACACACACACACACACACTTCTAACTCCACAAGATGGGCAGATCCATACTGCAGGATTGTTGCTTCAATACCGAAAAAAGCTTAAACATACCCCGCCTTTTTCAGTTTTGTAATATCAGCTTCTAATAAACTCATTTTCTGGGTATTTTGAAAGAGGTCGAAAATCTTTTTTACAATTGCAACTTTCTGTCTTAAGATGAGAATAACTGTTTTCAGTTGGGCTTCCCATCCCAAAATGTGCTGAAAACAGAGAGTCAATTATCAGGTGAGGGAAACACTCACCACTAATGCAGAGTGCTTTAACAGAGTGTGTTCGGTGACGGAGAGAGTGTTCAGTGAAGCCAGAGAGAGTGTTTCAGGATCCCTGATGACCACACACCCCCCCCCCCACTCTGTTGCCACTCTGTTGCACCGCTCATCTTTAACGTCGCTGCTCCATCCAGTGAGTGCTGAACAGCAGAACTACATCAGGGTGTTTGTTGTTGAGCTGGAGAAAGGGGAGCACTCATCAATAATGGAGGTGGGTAAAGCAGAGTCCTCTCTGACCTCTGGTCTGTTCAGCTGGAGCCCTCACACTGTAGCTGTGTGGGGAGCAGACAGTTACTAGAACTACTGTGTCTGTGTCTCACTGATCAGAGAATCACTGAGGACTGCAGGTAAAGCACTCAGTCATTCAAGCACCATCCAAAACAGAACAGGAACCACTTTAACCACACCTTAACTTGCTTTTTTTTACATAACACACTCTGAAAAGTATATTTGTCACATTTGATATAAGCAGTAACAATGCAGTGAGATATAGTTCTTGTTTTTAGACAATGCACCTTAAGGTTATAGACTCAGAACTCAGACTCAGTCAGACTCTTGAAAACATCTTATTTTGAGTTGGATCTCAGATGAAACAAGTTGGTTCACGTCACACAGTTTTTAAGCTGCTGTGGTATTTGAAGAATATACTGTATATCCTATTATTTAAAAAATAATCTTACTTGATTGTTGAGTCCGAGATATCAGTAACGCTTGGCAAAAAGGACTACAAAAGGGTTGACACATGGATAGAGGAATAGCCACCCAAACAAACAGAAAGTGTATTTCTTTTTAAACTGGAATCAAATGGTATCAGCTTGACTACTTGTCTAACTGATTATCATAACCCTGCACTGACTGTCCCCTCAAGGAACCATTGACAGCAAACTGAACAGCTGACAGGGGGCATCCTAAAGCTTTCCAAATAAATCCAAATACAACTGAGCAGCTTTTTTTTATCATGGATGCTTGGACAAAAAATGTAATAAATCATTTTTTCCCAAAAATATTATCTCCACAAGGATGGGTCGTGGTTTTTCCCAGATGAAGATATTCAGAGCAGGATTCTGCTTCTTTATATGATACATTCACCATAGAAGACTTGTCACAATGGAATCCATACTGCGGCCCTGTGCTGCATGTTACCCCCAACCCCCCATGTCACAGTATCTTATTGTTACATATTGAACATGCCATCTCTGCCTTGTGTTGCAGATTAAACTGGTGTGGATTATCCCAGAATAATTGGTGACATGGCAAAACTAACAGATCCTGTCACAGAGAGAAAAGGGAGAAGATGAACAACAGCGCTGTGTCACCCACACACTCGTCCTCTCCGTCACACACACACACACACACACACACACACACACACACACACACACACACACACACACACACACACACACACACACACACACACACACACACTATTCCTGTTCCTTTTGCAGGGCACACATCTGCACAGGATTATCAGATTAACAGCGGCAGATTCTCCCTGTGTGTGGTGCAGTGAATTGGGGCATTTGGGCGGTGTGCGTGTGTTGCAGGCATCTCTGATGCTGCTGAACACACACTGTCCACCTGTAGTGTGACAGTGGCGGGAAGTAACTAAGTACATTTACTCAAGTACTGTTCAATTTTTAGGGACTTGTACTTAACTTGAGTATTTCCATTTTATGCTACTTTGTACTTTTCCTCCACTACATGTATTTAACACCTTTAGATACTTTACAGATGTGGATGAATGAAGTGAAATATAATCAAGTGTTAAATCAGACTTTAGTTCCACCTGGAGTAAATTCACAAGCTACCCTGCAGTATACAGAGTCATTCAAACTAGCTGCACCTTTACCAGCTTTGAGAACACTTTCATGATCAATCATTATAAAACATATCATATTATTCTGAAATGGACCAATCTGCACAATGACTACTTTTACTGTCGCTACTTTCACTATATTTTGAGGATAATACTTTTTTACTTTTAGTGAGGAACATTTTGAATGCAGGACATTTACTTGTTTACAGTACTACTAGTATTCCTACACTCTGGTACTTCTACTTTTACTCAAGTACAAGATCTGAGTACTCCTCCCACCTCTGGACACTTCCATCAACCCCCCCACTCCACTGCCGCTCTCTCCCTGCCCTCTCACGCTCTCTCTGCCAGTCCTTCTCACCGACTTACTCATTTTGCTCATTCTGGCTGCGTCAATCCTTTACAAGTATTCACACACACACACACACACACACACACACACACACACACACACACACACACACACACACACACACACACACACACACACACACACACACACACACACACACACCCTGTCCCATCTCCCAGTGCTAAATTACAGCTGGCGTGGAGGTCGTCTCACTCCAGCTGGCTGATAGACTTCAGATTCCTGAGCAGCAGATGTGATGAGCTGAGGCTGCTGAGGGACAGGCAAGGTGGTCACTGACACACACATACACACACACACACACACACACACACACACACACACACACACACACACACACACACACACAAACACACACACACGATAGGAGTGCGGAATGAAAGCCTGACACTATATATTATATATGTGAGGAATCTTGAATCCTGAACATTTCAGTAAAACTAGACAACTTGTTTGCTTTAATTTACACATATGGAGTTCATGTTGAAGATAAGATGACCTTTAATGAATCCCCACCCTGTTATTGTATACACATATGCATGTATAGGTGTCAGAGCCAAGAGGCTGCCAGGAGCAGCTGGGGGTGTGGTGCCTTGCTCAAGGATTGAAAGGTGCTATATAAATCAACTTGCCTTGCCTATATAACTGTCTGCCAGTCCGATGTCCCTGATAAATAAAAGCTCCAACTAGGGCACAGAAGAAGTGGATACTGCTTGAGTTGCACCAGGTGATACTTCATTTAAAATGATTACAAAACATTGAATGATGTCTTGCTTTAAACACAGTTTGTGCAGTCTTTCTTTCAACAGATAAACTATATTTATGAAGGTGATAAATAATAACCCCCTCTCTCTTCTAAATTGTCAGATACACTCCTTCTCTTCTTGCCTTTCAAACTAATAGCCCTAATCATACTGCACCACAGCTAACCAGAGAGCATTTTGCTAAAAGGCAACTCAACAAAACAGCTCAACGCTCAGCAAATAGTCTCCAGTAGTTTCCCCTGATGGCAGAAATGGCGGAGGTGAAACAACCGGAGCAATGTTACCCGAGAAACTGGGATTCTATTTCTACAAAGCTAGAGCAGTAAATAACAAAGCCTGGCTGTTATTAATACTACAGGGTGTTTCACACTTTATGATAGCACTTAGATTCAGTTTGTCTTGTGTTGCTGTTGGTAGCTCTGAGCAGAACAGAAAGGATCCTGTTGTCTTTGAGACAGTGGCACCAAAATTACACCGCATGGAAAAACCAGGGGGTAAAAGTGGAAACACTGTCTGTTGCTACTTTTGTCCTAAATGCAAATCACTAACTCAGGTGTCAAAGTCAAATCCGTGTTGTTGTATTTGCTGTAAAGTGTCTCTACTGTAGGCTATTTTTATTATATGTACAGCACTTTGGCTCGACAAAAGATCATTTATAAATCTGCTATATAAATAATACTTTCAACCACATTATTGAGAGACTTTCTGCACTGTCGTTCACTAATGCTACTTCCACCTGTCATGAGGAGGTGGACGGGTCAGGAAGATATAAACAGAACAAAACATCTGAACAAAGAGCCGCTGCTGTAGAGGAATCATATCAGCCTGCAGTCACAACAACTGTGAACAAGGACTAAATGTCAAGCATGTTGTGAGCTGTTAGGGAAATGGCTGAGATCTCTCTTTACAAGAAGCATGTACTTATGTCAGCTGATGCAGGCTCGGAGAGTTGAAGTGAAGCAAACACACGTTTACAACGCACGCACCAACCAAAAAGTGACTGTCTACGAGAAAAGGGGGCGTTCTCCACCATTTACACATATACTTTACATTATAGACAGAAAACAAACAGTCAAGCTGCTGTTGGAAGGACGAGCATTTAGAGGTATTTCTCGTTTTCTCACAGCAATGCTCTCACATTTGAGTACTGTGGAAGAATATTGATTATTCTGACATTACCCTAACCCTAAAACTGGATTGTCTCCCTTCTTTTGTTGACCAGCAGTGTATTTAAAGAGGCCTTATTTAGCTTTTGGGGTTTCCCTTCCCTGTAGTGTGTTCCTTCATTCGACTCCTGTGTTTACTCCTGTCACTATGTGACACTTGTACTCTTATTGGCTAGCGCTCCAACACATTGTACATGATAGGCCAAGTTGTGGGATATCTCTTAAGCAGTGATTGGTCAATAAGCAGTTGACCAATCACAACAGAGCCGGCCAGCTAACCAATCAGAGCAGACCGGGCTCTGGTTTCAGACAGGGTGAAAAGAGGATCTGCATCAAGAACATATGTCCCAGGAGCCTTTTGGAACCTGAACATTAGCATAATATGTATTTTCAAAGGGCAGCACGCTGTCACTGACCAGACGGGCCTGCAGAAGTGAGTGTGCAGGGAGTCTGGCAGAAACACACTTCAGACGGCGAGTGCCACTGGGGTTTGCTACATGAAAAACATCCATTCAAAACAGGAGGGATTGCGGGCATCCTCAGTGACACGGTTGTTGGCCCGGTGGCATATGGCCGGCTGGTGGAGACACGTGTTGTTGTCACCAACACACCACAGGCCCTGCGCACTGATTTCATCATCCCATTTACATTTCCAAGCCTCCCAGAGGGCAGGTTTTCTCTGAAGGTAACCTGTGATTATGTGTGGTGGTCACAGTGTCCCTGGCACAAGGTGTGGATGTTACTCTGCCTGGAAGCCTTGGCTTGCACTGCTTGTTTGGATATTTTTTGGGGTATTGCGTTAGGGAGGGGACTTCTTTACTGCCATCGCAATCTCACTGCTACCTCTGCAGAAGAACTCAATATTGCATTTTTATAAACTTTCAACACTCCCATCAGACATGTTCTGCAAGCTGAAATTCCAATTTAGCATTCACCCCAGAGGCCAGGCGGGAAGTCATAGATTGGTTTAAAGAAGACGGCGAATGAGGAAGAATGTAACTGAAATATCTGCCTTGTAATGAATCAGGAGGCGGACAGACAACCGACTTACATAACAACAGCCGTAGTTCATATCAATAGTGTTGAAAATTAAAAAGAAAGAAAACTGAAAATGAACAGGACATGGTTAAACCGTACACCCCAGCACGTGCACTCCGCTCTGCATCAGCCAAACGGCTCGCTGCACCCTCACTGCGAGGGGGACCCAAGTTCCCATCAGCAAAAACACGTGGGTTTGCTATCCTGGCTCCAAAATGGTGGAATGAGCTCCCCATTGAAATCAGGACAACAGAAAGCTTGCACATCTTCCGGGACAGACTGAAAACTCGTCTTTTTCAACTCCACTTCGAGCGATAGAAT